AGAGCAAACCCTGCTGGCCAACACTCAGCTCTTGGAGAGCAAGTCTCTGTCACAGTTGCCCTGGGTGAGGCAGGTTCCTCCAGCCCAGGGCTTCTGGGAAGAGCTCATTGACCTGAACACAGCTTTGCCCTCTTAAAGCTCACTTTGACCTCTAAACTTCATGACTGTTTCCCATTCCGGAACATGACGTGTGCATCACTGACCACAAAGGAGTCGAGAACACAGTGGGTGGTTTTTGGTTTTTTGTTCCGACCTCCGTAGTATAAGAAAGCAGTGGGAATGGGTGTCAGATAAACTGGCCTGATACATTTGACATGACAGAGATTAATAAGAAGTAAGTTCTTTGGAGGCTTGAGACTTACCAGGCACAGTGACACGTAAGTGGAACTCCAGCTTTTGGGAAAGTGAGGTACAAAGGTTGCTAATTCAAGGCCAACCTGAGCTACAAAGAGAATTCAAGGCTAGCTCAGGGAATTTAGCAAGACCCTTCCTCTAGAAGGAGGACCTCTTGTTCTGGAATGACAGTTTAACAAGCTATGGTTTGGATCAGGGTCCCCAGAGGCTCACGTGTCAAAGCGTTGATCTTAGCGGCTCTAGTTCTCTCTGGAAGTGGGGACCTTTAGGAGGTGGGGCCTAATGGGAGGAAGGTAGGCCACTGGAAACGTGGGGCGCCCAGTTTCTTCTCTTGTTCTCCCTTTGCTCTGCTCCACATCATGTCCCACCCCTACCATGATCTATAGCCTCATCACAGGCTTGACGGCCACAGGTCAGCAGCAATGGATTGAAATCAGAGTCAAAATAAACCTTTGCTCCTTGTAAGCCTGACTGTCTCGGGTACTTTGTTATAAAAGCAGAAATCTGACACATAGGCTGCAGAGTGAAAACAAAGTTGGCTGTCACTTTTCCTAAGTACTGGGAAGACATGATTGTGTTGCTTCTGACAGCTAGTGTTTGTGATAAGGGTCTGCTACTTGAGTGGCATTCATTTGTAGGAAGTGTTTTATGTTACTTTACTTTTTAATTTTCTAATCTTATATAGCCATCAAAAATGTAGATATTGTCTCACATAACTATCAGTTGCTTGTGGTGAGTCTTTATTTCCTATCTACTGTTTTAGCATTTCTCAAGTCTGTAGTCTGCTGCTGTTAACTGACGTCACCGTGCTGTGTTGTCCCTGGCACGGACTTCTGCGCCCTTTAACTGACATCACAGTTCTCTCACATCCCCATGTCCCTCACCACAGCAATCACCGTTCTGGGCTCTGCTCTGTGAGCCCAGTGTTTAGACTCCACAAGCTAGGGCCACAAGCTGTCCTTTTATTTCTGTGCCTGGCTTATTTCACTTAACATGCCTGCCAGCTTCCTCATAGGCAGCTTTTATTTTATTTTATTTATTTATTTTTCCTCTTTGTCTTTGACATTTGGACTTCTGCTACTAAGTTTGTGGGTGTGTATTTGTTTCAGTTTATTTTGTTTAGAATTCTGTTTAATCCTTCACCCTGAGGATTTGTCTTTTATTTCTCAGTTCTGCAAACTCACTTGATAACATCACCTCAAATATTAGCTCTTCCTGCTTTCCCTTCTCATTCTGTAGCTCTTGTTATTATTTTTTTTTATTGTATTAGATCCTCCTTTTCTTGTTTGTTTTGTTGTTGTTTAGTTTTTCAAAGGCCTCAGATACTCATGTTTGTAGCCAAGGATAACCTTGAACTCCTGATCCTCCTGCCTCCCTCCAGGTGCTCGTTCACTAGCACAGCGGATCCTCTTTGACGCCTCACTTCTTTTCCATCTCTGTGTGTCTCTGGGTTGTACCCTTTGTGATTTTTAATAATATTTTAACTCATTTTATTTGCCTGAATCTAGTTCCCTTATTCATTTTTTAAATTTAAATATTTTTTCGTATTCCTAGTATAGCTACATATCTAAGATTTGTATGTATGTATACATGCATGTGCGTGCCTGCATGTGCCTGTGTGTGTGTGTGTGTGTTTAGATACTCAGGCCAGAGGGCATCATATCCCTCTGTAATAAGCTGCTCAATGTGGGTGCTGAGCACTGGACTCTGGTCCTCTGCAAGAGCAGCAAGTGCTCTCTACTGAGGCACCATCTCTCCAGCCCCTAGCTACATAGTTCATTTTTGAACTATGTCTATGCTTCCTCTTTCCTTTCCTTGTTTATAGACTGTGTTTCCCCCTTTATCCCTTGCAACAGGGTCATTTTGTGTTAAAATCCCTGAGAGATGATCAAGCTGGTAGCTGTGACCCCTTGGCCAGCTTTCCAGCTCTCTTTGAAGAAGGTGACTTTTGCCTCATTCATCTTTGGCAAGAATCGCTTTTTGTAGACTGGAGGCACCAGGTTCTCACAGGTGTCCTGATGAATGAATCAACAGTGTTGATGAATAGCCCTGTGATTTGCTCAATTTTAGTGCCTCACTCTATCATAGTTTTAAGTTTTACTATGTCATTCTCCCCATTCCTACATGAAGAGGTTTCATGCCTTTGTGAAATAAAAACTTCAGACTTAAGGGAAATTATAAAGCCAGTACAGTTCATTCTCACTTATATACCATAGCTAATTTTCCTGAATGTCAACATCGTATGTGTTTCAGTTAACTATCTAATATTGGTAAGTCATTCTTAACAAGTTTATGTTCCGTGTTCCCTAAGGTTTTGTTTTGAGACAGTCTTGCTCTGTGGTCCAGGTTTTTCTCTTGTTCAGGTTCCTGAGTGCTGGTCTTACAGGCCTTCGATACCACGCCAGCTACACATGCTGTTAGAACAGCCGTTTCCTGTCTCAGGAGCCCATCGGAATACTACAGCTCACTTACATTCTGAGCCTCCTTGAGAACAGTATCAGATTATCCTGCTTTTGGTGACCTCAGTAACTTTAAGGAGCACTGTCTGAGGGCTTGTGCAGAATGTCACATGACTGGGATTTCTGTGATATTTCCCATGATTCCCTAGGAGAAAGATTATTAACACAAAGTGAGTTCTCATCACATCCTACCAAAGCTGAACACTGGACATGAATCACCACCACCAATAGTAATTATGATTGTCTCACTGAGCCTCTGCTCCCAGGATTTCCGTGTGACTATAATGGTTTGAATAAGAATGGCCCCCATAAGCCGGGCGGTGGTGGCGCACACCTTTAACCCCAGCACTCAGGAGGCAGAGCCAGGTGGGTCTCTGTGAGTTCGTAATCTCTGTTTGTAATTCTGTTACATGGAAGATTCGTGGCTTCTACTTCTTGACCATCTTCCTATCACTAGAGACTGTAACTGTAACTGTTTGGGCTGTAGCAATGCTGTTTCATTTATTTTACTGCTTAAGTCATTGTAGGCTTTTCTAGAAAACCCATCTCCTCAGGCCCCACGTCTGCTGGGCATGTTCCCATTGGTCTAGGCTGGGATGCAGCTTTTTGGATTTGCTTTAGAATTTTGCTGCTTTCTGAAACTGTGGTATGCTCGTGACTCACCTTGTATATTTCTTGAGTTTTCCTAGAATTACCTATATCCCTAAGAGGACTGGCTCCACTGATTGGAAAAAAATTGTCGGCATCCATTATTGGAATGCTAGGTATGCCCTTTCCTGCTGGGATGTCATTGCTTCTAAGACCTTCTTGGTGGCAGAACACAGAGCTGGGAGTATGTCTGCGTCCATGCTTGTATTGTGTGGCACATGAGCTCATCCTGAGGTTCTCAGCTCTGACCCATCGTCAGATGATCATTCCAGTAATGGCCTTTGCAAAACAGCGATGCTAACTCTTAAAGTCTGACCTGCCAATATTTTCTTTAATGTATAGTGTTTTCACGTCGTAAGTGCTGTAACTATTTTTATGCTTAAGTAAATGGATTCATAGGGCAAATATACAGTTTCAAATGTTTAAGTTCAGATATTAAAATGCTGAAGGTAAGAATCAGCTCTCTCATCTTCATCCTCAGCCAAATGTCCTTCCTTAGCTGATGCCTGCAGCAGCATCCTCCCGCCTTCCGGACCATGGATGCAATTCGTTTCTACTCTTACATCCTTCAGCACCCTCTCGACTATTCCCACTTGGATCCCTAATCAGGGATGAGTCAAAGAGAGGGAAGGGAGAGAGGGCTCTTATGTGATGGGCTGACTTCATCCTCTCTGCCGTGGGCAGGGAGTTACTTTGTGGATAATTTGGGTGGCTCTGCAGACTCCTGCTGATGCCTCTTTAATCACAGGCACAAAAGATACATTTGAATACCTGGAAAACTGTCCTCAGCCTCTGGTTTACTAGAGGCCCTTTCCACAAACTTTACATGCAAGATCCCCTAGACTTCCCCCACCCAGCTCTGGCTCTACCCTCTGTCCATGTAACCTATGTTTATTGATAGACCTGATGTGGACATTCTTCATTCAGATGATTCCAACATAGCAGCTTTCTCTTTGTCCCATCATCAAAGCAGAGGGCCAAAATTTACTCAACCTCCTATGATCCCTGGACCAGAATTAGACACATGCTCACAGTGGTCCTATCGTGGGTTTTCTTGCCTTGTTTCTGATGTGTGGTACAAAGAATTCAGTCTTTCATCACTGAGTCTGAGCTTGTCTGAGACACCTTCTCTCACACCAAGGGTGTCCCCTTCATTTCTTGTGGGTCCTGAATTGTGTTAAATGACTTCTGCCAGTGGCCACATCTGCTTGGTTTTCTCCTTTGTTCCATGGTCATGGTACATCACATTCGCAGTGGTTTAAGTACGATAAGGATCTAGCATGCTTGAGATGAACCCTGTTTATGGGTGTGTGAGAACATGGCCACAAGGACTGAAGCATGATTTGTAGTAGTGGAATATGCCTAATTCTTGGTTGGCAGTTCTTTTTCTTTCTTTCTTTCTTTAAAAAGTATAATTAATTAATTAATTAATATAATACCACCAATAATAATTGTTATCTATAGTCAGAGAGACAGACTGCAGTGGAGTTATGCTGCCTGAGGACACTGAGATTTCTCTGCTTAAAATTTCCAGCTCCCACCTTCTCCGTTGAGCCTGGTCCCTGGAGGTTCCCACCGTCAGCGCATTTTAATGGTAAGCCAAGGATTCGGGTCCTTCTGCAGTCTTCTGTCTTCTGGAATTTCCCTTTCAAATATCCCGCCTGGCTGAATAAATCTTCTTTTCCTGGTATTACTTGTATTTTAATTGGCCTGCTGGGAATGGGTTGTCAGCACTGCCTGGGCCCCGGCTGTTGCCTAACAGCCCCCTCAGCTCTCCAGCCTCAGCCTGCTGGGACCACAGTCCTGACCCAGCACACCCAGCCCGACCCTCTGTTTGGTCACTCAGCTGTGTTCTGTAAGTCATCGTTTCTCTAGAGGAATGACCTGACCACTCAAAGCCACCATTAGGTGAGTCCCAACCTTTATCATTTGAGATTTTAAAACAATTTCTACTATTCTCTTTTGAATATTTATATTAGTGGCTTTTTGTTCTTCTGCTAATTGCAATGACTGGGTCATCTCAGGGTAGTTTCTACTGCCTGGCATTCTTCTAGAGCAGTGGTTCTCAATCTTGCAAATGCTGTGACCCTTTAATCAGTTCCTCATGATATGGTGACTTGCAACTATAAAATTATTTTTATTGTTACTTCATAACTGTAATTTTGATACTGTTATGAATCATAATATAAATATCTGATATGCAGGATATCTGATATGTGATCCCTGTGACAAAGTTGTTGGACCCCTGTGGGATCTCGGCCCACAGGTTGACAACCATTGCCCTAGTGGGATCCACTGTAATGAGATTAACCCCCTCTGTTGCCTGTTTGCCTGGCTTTTTACTCATTACCTTAGAAGGATTTATCCGACCGAGCCCTTCCATTATTCATCCATCTGAGTGAAGTTGTAAGATTGCTTTCAGCCTGGGCTGGTACTGACAACCACCGTGCATTTGGCCTCATATTAATTGTAAGAGTGGCTTAGATTTTGACATTTCTTGGAGACTGTCTTATTTCCATGCTTGAATCAAGGTGTACCAGGATATTATAACAGTAAGTATGTATATATTACATACATTTGTCCAAATCCATAGACGGTACACCACCAAGAACAAACCTGATGAAAGCTATGGGCTTGGTAAGGTAATGGCATGTCTATGCAAGTTCATCGACTGGAGCAAAAGAACTGTGTAGACGAATGTTGATGATGGTGGAGTCTGTGTGTGGGCACAGAGAGTGCATGAGAGATCTTCACATTTTCCACCCAATTTTGCTATAATCTATCAAAAACCTATCAACAACCTGAGCCAGCTTGCTAATAGCCCTCCTCCAATTCCTCAGTTTTTTTCAAACCTGTTTCCCAAACTTTCTCCACTTCCTACTTTTGTTGGTTGAATGATCTTGGTAAGAAGTTTAGCGACGTTAGATTAGCCTCCTCGGGCTGATGAAACACCAAAGGACTCAAACAATGAAGCTTGTTTTCTTGTGGTTCTGGAGGCCAGAAGTCCAAGAGGAAGCCACCAGAGCTGGTGTCTGATGAGGCCTCTCTTCCTGGCTTGTAGGCATTTGTCTGTGTCCTCACGTGACCTTTCTTGACTGAGTCTGTGCCTCTGCCTCTTCCTATGAGGACACTAGTCCTTTCTATCTACGGTTTACCTCAGGACTTCACTTCAATAATTACGTCCCTAAAGGCCCCATCACCAAACAATCACCTTGGAAGTGAGGACTCCAACAAATGAATTTGTGAGCACCACAATTCAACTGGCAATGGGTATTCGTATGAACAGTTTGCTGAATTTTCCCCTTTCGTTCATCACATTTTCATCATTTGATGCCCCTTTGGAAAATGTGTGCAACTGGCTTCTGTGTTGACTTCCAAGAGGAAGTCAGTGTGGTTGGCCAGAGATTAGAAGCCTGAGTTAAAGTGGGTAATGCCAGAAAGGTCTCTAATGTATAATGTTGACAAGGCATTCGATCTGGACAGAAGGAGAATCCATGAGAGACTTGAAGACAGGAAGCATGCCTTTTGATAGAGTATGATTTGGGGGGTAACCAGGAAGCAGTGTGGATGTTCTTACATGTTAGCAGCAGAGGTTTGTCAAAGACTTGGGAGTAACCTTTAAAAATGTCAAGGGTCTACCGTCTCATGTCGGTGAGACAGGGCAATTTGTTTTTCCTTTCTTCGAAGATAAAACAGTGAAAAATTCACAGTGAAAACTCATTTGTGAATAGTTGGCTCTAGATCCACCCCAGCACTAGAAGTAAACATACGTGAGGGGACATGGAATGTGACTACACCCTCAAATTTAGCATGTGGGAAAGTATATGCAGCAATACAAAAATCATACACATAGGGAGCCAGCCACCGGGAAAGCATGATAGACCATTTTTCATGAATTATCCCTGAAGAAAAATGATTTTTGAGCAATGAATAATTTTTATTTTGTACTCAAAAATATTTTATTTATAGCAGTTGGGGATTTATCTTGGAGGTAAGAAATGAATTTCTGTTGCCAAAGGGTCAAGAGAAAAGGGGAGCTATTTTTGATGAAGGATGGAGATGTCTTTTAAAAATACCACTTTCATTTCATTTCTTTTAATTTTTTTCCAACTAAACTCAACAGGAAGCAATGAATCGAAATTATAGCAAGAAGTGATTGTGTTCTGCAGAATGGAGACCTCAGAGCAGCCCCAGGATAAGGCTTGAAGACCTGGAACTGCTTCCTCAGGGAGGCTGAGCCTCTTTGCCCTGGGATGTGCTCCCCTGGGAGGAGGCCTCAGTGGAGAAGCAATGTGTGTCGTCTCAGATCCAGGAGAGGTAGTAGGATGTTCCTGTGTCTCAGATCCAGGAGAGGTAGTAGGATGCAGGGTTGTGTATCCCACTCTGCGAGGACCAGACAGTAGGAGGCTCGCCTCCAGCTCAGCCTGTTTCAGCCTGTGTGCAGCCAGATGGATTTCTCTGCACCTCGATGTCACTGTGTGCAGCCTGGGGTTGCTGAAGGACTAAAGCGAACAGATGACATGCTTGCACTATGGCAGTAGCTTTAAGAAGATGTAGTCTTTATTGAGAGAAGACCCTTGACTTTGTTCAGAAAAGGAGACTGTGACTAAACCCCGAGGAGGCCAGCTGTGCCCAATGTTGTGCCACAAGGTTCTCCAGTCTCTGTTGGTTATTAGACTGCATTACCGTGACCAAACACCAGACAAGAAGAAGCTTAAGGAAGGAAATGTTTATTTCGGCTCATGGTTTGAGGGGCCAGAGTCCATCATGGTGAAGAAGCCATGGTGCAGGAGCAGATTGATGTACAGTGGAAGCAGGAGGTTGAGATGACTGCTGCATTGCATCAGCAGCCAGGAAGAAGAGAGAGGCCAGGAAGTGGGTGTGGCTAGATACTGAACCGCTCCACACTTTCCCCAGCTTGGTCCCACCTCCAAAAGGTTCCACAACCTTTCCAAAACAGCATCACCAGTTGAGAGACAAGGATTTCACACCCAGAACACAATAATTTTTCACAATTCAGGGAGGCTTCGTTTTTCTCATGTATTTTATTTTCTCTTTGTGTGGGAATTCTTGGGGCTTTTGTTCCAGCTTGTGACTTGTTGGTTTAGAGAGCAGCCATGCCAACTAGGGGTGAAGTCCACTCCTACAGAACATGCTAGCAATGCTAAGAAGCATGGACCCTGACCTAAGATGCAGTGGGTATAGAACTGGACCACGGTGGGTTCATATTCTCTACCAGAGCTGGACCATGGTGTGTTCATATTCTCTACCAGAGCTGGACCACAGTGGGTTCATATTCTCTACCAGGACTGGATCATGGTGAGGCCAGGAGAATGCTAGGGTAGAGTGTAAAGGGGCAGTTGCACAAATCTGAGCATGAGTATTTCCTTCAGCCTGTACCCATGGAACCTCATTTATTTCCTTCTGGTTACCAATGGTTCCCAAACTGGCCTTCCTGTGCAGGCCTTGCAACCTCCTAATGGCTTTCTAGGCTGTGTTGAAGTGGCTCAAAGCCTACAGGCCCTTATTGGACCTTCTGGACTGCTCCTGTTGCCTACAAGAGCCTCTTACCTATCCTCTTGGCTTGGATACCACTATGCCAGACTTGAAATCTCCTAAGTGTGCTGGACTTTGGACAGTAGGATGCTTCTGTGTGGGATAATAGGAAACTCACCTCTTTCCCTCCTAGCCAAACCAGGGATTTCGTCTTTGTTACCTCCTATTTTTTCTTTCTTTTTTATTCTTCTCTCGTACATTAAATCTTGGCCACCATTTCCCCTCCCTCCACTCCTTGAAGGCCTCCCTAACTCCCCTCTCCTCCAGAACCACTGCTCCTCCATTTCCCTTGAAAAAAAAAAAAAAGAGCAGGCCTCGCAGAGATATCAACTGAACATAGCATAACAAGTTACAGTAAGACTAGTCACAAACCCTCATATCAAGGCTGACAAGGCAACCCAGTAGGAGAAAAAGGGTCCCAAGAGCTGGCAGAAGAGTCAGAGATACCCCTAATCCCACTGTTAGGAGTCCCACAAGAACACCCAGGTACACAACCATAAGGCATATGCAGGGGACCTAGCTCAGACTTACACAGGGTCCATGATTGTCACTTTAGTCTCTGTGAGCCCCTCTGAACCCTGCTTAGTTGATTCTGTGGGTTATGTTCTTGTGGTGTCCTCCACCTCTTTGGCTCCTATTAACCCTTATTCCCCCTCTTCTGTAGGGTTCCCCAGCACTGCCTAGTGTTAGGCTATGAGTCTCTGCATCTGCTCCCATGAGTTTCTAAATGACACCTCTCTGATGACAAGTGGGCCAGGCACCGATTTATAGCAGATTATCATTAGGAATCATTTCACTGAATTTTTTTCCTACTCCTATCCTGGTTCTCTGGATTGTCTAGCCTCTGGTTCCCAGCCATCCAGGCAGTGTTAGACATGGGCTCCCTCTTGTGGTGTGGGCCTCAAGTTGGACCAGTCATTGGTTGGCCACTCACACAAGTTCTGTGCCACCATTACCCCAGAACATCTTGCAGGCAGGACAGATTGTAGGGCAAAGATCTTGTGTTTGGGTCGGTGTCCCGGTCCTACTGCTGGAAGC